GGGGGGGGTCGCTCTCCAGGCCTTCCCTCTGTAGCCACGCATGCAAAGGTTTTGGCTGTAGTGGGCATGGCCAACTCTAAATGTTGTACCAAGGGATCTGAGCACGTAACATATTATTTGGTCTTCAGATTCCCCCTTTGCAGCTGCAGTTCAAGATTCACTGCTCTCACTCTGGCACACTTCCTAGAGAACCTGCCTTCCAGGTGGGGATGTCCTGCAGTCTCCTTCCTCTTCTAAATCAGTGTAGGGTTTCAAAATATTTGAATATAGAAGTAATGAACAGTAAATGTGCTCATCAACAGAGTAGTAATTTTGTTGGAGTACTGCAACTTGAGCTGCAGTTGTTCAAGTGGTTAAGACGCTGAACTGCAGGCTGTGGAAGGTCAGTAGTTCAGCAGTTCGAGACCCGAGTGTGCTGCATGACGGAGTGAGCTCCCGTCTCTAGTTCCAGCTCCTGCCAACCTAGCAGTTCGAAAGCAAGAAATTGTGGGAAGGTAACAGCATTCCGTGCACCTTGGTGTTTAGTCATGCCAGCCACATGACCACGGAAACGTCTTCGGACAGCGCTGGCTCTTTGGCTTTGAAACGGACATGAGCACCGCAACCATAGAGTCGGACTTGACTGGCTTTCGAGCAAGGGAACCTTTACCTTACTGAATCTTCTCTCCCTGATGTCATGAAAGAATTAAACTGTTCATTTGTATTGAAGAATTCTGGTGCCAAGGTAACTTCCTGTGACACCCAGAATCCACTAGAGTTCAATGGGCTGGATTAAAACTGGTTCAAGACTGAATCTTTCCAGAGAGAAAGAGACCAACAGGTCAGTTGCTTCACACTAAAAATTACTTATTGAAACCATGCAGAAGAAAAACCCAATAATATGCAGAAGCCCCCATACCTGAAATAATGCATTCAAAGAGGAAACAGAATCCAAAGAGGAATATTCCTGTCTGCCAGCCAAACACACACCAAAATCTTGGGAGTCTTTGACGGACAGTTCAGAATAAAGGAACAGCACTCATTATATACCTTTCAGGAATCTATAGAATCCAGGGTACCTGTCAGTCAGAAATGGGATGAGTGTGACAAGAACCAGACGCAGGGCACCTGGAGAAACTCGAGCAGGGAATCCAGGGCATTTCAACCCAACCCCCCCCCGAGTCTCTCCGCAAAAGAGAGAGGCTCAGGGGGAAACGAGACATGGCCTCCTTTCCCCCTGAAGAGAAGGAAGAGGAGGTGGGGAGATATGTCTGGCTTGCCTGTTTTGAGCTGGGGCAGGGAAGCCAGGGATTTAACCCCCCCAGTCTCTCTGCAAAAGCGGAGAGGCTCAGGGGGGGAGGCAGGAGCGTGGGGTGAGGAGCTGGGGGCAGGGCTTGCTGCCACCACCATTTGTGCCTGCGCCTGGGCTGCCGGAGCAGCGCTCCAGCACGCTCCGGCTCCAAACGACCCCTGGTCCTAGTCTATTGTAATACTAAATATTCCAACTTCAATGAAATAGGAAATGCTTTCAATTGCTGCATATATTATTTGTGGATTAGAACGATTTAAATTAAATATTTTACTGAAATGTTAACCTTTAAAATGTGTTTGGTGTGTTTTATGTTTTGATAAACTGCAGAATATATAAACACACAGCTACTATTAACTAGAGCACTTGCTGCTAGTGACTGCACTATGATTATTCTTGTAATTGCAAGTACCTGCAATTTTTAAAAACCTAAGATTAATTAATACTGACAGTCTGTCAGAACAATGACGTACACTAGCTGCTAGAGTTCACACCTACCTCTGCTACTCTCACAGCATCCAGGACATGCCTCTCCTTTTCATTGACCTTTTGTTTCTGTAAAGACTTCCACACAGCATTTCGTAATCCTTCTCGAATTGCATCCCCAGAGAGTTCACTACGCAGGATAACCAGATTGTAGACCACACCATAACGAATAACCCAGAATGGGTCATGACCTGCAAATAATGATATTTTACTTTGTGATGAATGTTACCCATTTTGCAATTATATTAGAATATTTTCTGGATCACCCCAGGTTCCATATAATCCCACACAGGGACTTCATCCTGTTCCCATAGGTGGCAAAATAGAACGCAGTAAGGAGCAGTCATGTGACATTAGTGGCATCAAGCTGCAACCAATTTACAGAGGTGGTTTGCTGTTGCCTGCCTCTGCGTAGCAACCCTGGACTTCCTTGGTGGTCTCCCATTCAAAAATTAACCCGGGCTGCTGAGCTTCCGATGAGATTGGGCTAGCCTGGGCCATCCAGGTCAGGTCCTGTGACGTTACAGTTCTGTAATAGGAAGAGAGGGGAACTAGAGATATAACCTCATCAGTGTCAGTGCCAGAACACTGAGCAACAGATGAAGAATGTTGGAGACACAAAACATAAACTGAGCATTTAATGATGAACAAGTGAAAGATTACAACCATGGAGCTGTCTTCTTCACCACTTTCCTTGACATCCTGCTGTGCCTCTCACAGAGCATGCTCTCTATCCATGTGCACTAGCAAAAAGTCTTTTCAAAAGCAACAATAAAATAGCAACTATATAGGGGCTCACAACCTAGAAGATGGGGCTACATGACCCATGGCTGGAAGACTATAGCATGATGTTTTCAACATCAACCTGCCAATGCCTCTGAAAGCTCAGGGACAATTTAAACATGGTGGGTTGAATTGGCCATTTCCACCCTTCCCTCTTCCCACTGCAGACCTCTCCCATGTGACTCCTCAGGGTCTCCTGTCCTCCAGGAGCAGCATTTTGTGGAGATCATTGAGCTGTAGTGGGAGGCAAAAGCAGGAAAACTTCATTCTGTTATTGGAAAAATTAGTCTGGATCCAGTCCAACAAGGAATAGGAAGCACTTATACACTCAAGTGCTCAACACAGCTACTGTCATTTTTAAAAAGGGTTTATCATGCACACTGAGCTGTTTGGGTGCAGTTATTGGTGTGCCAACAGTATATTCTCATGGAGCATGGACTGTTGGCGTGCCACTGATAATGCTGAAAAAAATGGCCCAATGTGCAAGATATACAGCTTTTAAATAATATTACAGCCATATGGAAAACTGACATAGGCAAGCTATCTATCCAGCCTCATCACATTTTAGCAATGTATGACAATCATGGCTAGCCCTTGGTGTTTGTTCCTGGGATCAGGTACTGAAAAATATTCTGTTCTTGTACCCATAAGTTTAATGTGTTAACTACTTAGAGAAGACAGTCAGAATTCTTACTTAAATGACCTTTAATGGAATATTAGGAAAGCTTGCATAGAAGAAGAAGAGGAGGATTTATACCCCGCCCTTCACTACGCAAAGGTGTTTCAGAGCGGCTTACAAACTCCTTTCCCTTCCCCTCCCCACAACAGACACCCTGTGAGGTAGGTGGGGCTGAGAGAGCTCTTGACAGAAACTGATCTTTTTCAAGGACAGCTCTTATCAGAACTACGGCTTGCCCAAGGTGGTCCAGCCAGGTGCAAGTGGAGGAGTGGGGATTCAAACCCGGTTCTCCCAGATTAGAGTCCGCGCACTTAACCACTACACCAAACTGGATCTCAGTTTAGGAAAGAATGCATTAATATGGAATATTAGAAAAGCATGCATATTTGTTGTGATGGGCAGTATGTGAAGAACATGGGCTTTGCCTAAAGCGGCAGAACAGCTTAATTCTGAATCATGAACCAGTCCTTCAGCCACAGATTTTGTTTGCCAACAGTAGCAAAAAAAGAGTTGTCAAAAATAAATAAATAGCTGTGTAGCAGTGAAGATTAGGAATATATAAATAAAAGCTGTCTGTGCTTCTCTTATGTGCAAAAAGGGTGCTTCTACACCAGGAGTCCCTGACGTGGTGACAAAGGGCACCATGGTGCCCGTCAACACCTTTTCTGGTGCTCACTAATCGTTTTTAGAAAGTGAGTGTGGCAAGGTGAAGCTTTTGCCTAGGAAGCCTTCTGATTTACTATTGGAGATTTGATTGTTCAGATTTTTTTAAATGATGCTTTGGCAGCAGCTGCCACCACAGCACAAGGATCTTGATGGTGTGACTGAAGATAAGCTGTGGCAGCATCCGTTTTGTGACTGGCTCCACTTCCTGTGGCACCCATTCTGTGGCAGTCATTTTATGGCTGTTCCTACCAAGGGGTGTCAGAATTCTGAAGGTGCCTGCAGGCTGACAAATGTTGGAGACCCCTGTCCTACACCATATTTGTGTTTATGCAGATATATCACTGTAAAGAATATGCTGAGCTTGTAAAAGGTTGAAGCCCAGCCATCACAATTCTTCAGCTTGTACAGGGAAACACTGCTGTTCCCTTTCCGGCTGAAACAAGAAAAGTCCCCCCCCCAAAAAAAACCCCACCCAACCCAGTCATAACTATCAAAGACATTTGAGTAAGTTAAATTACTGTGCTTGTCCTTAAAATTTTTTCTCGTCCTGCCTCCTACCATGTTACTTGGCATTTGCAGTACTCTCTACATGCCCTTCTAATTAGAACTGGGAATCAGGCAAATAGTGAGGAAACACTAGTCATCTCTTTAGGGGCTTGCTGTTCTAATGTGCTGAGTGTCTCCTGGAATGGATCTCACCATCATTTATTATTCTCACTGTCAATGGCAACTGAATATGCCCCATCAAAAGAAAGTTCTCATCTCAGCACTAAATCGGGGGGGGGGTGTTGTATTTTTTGTGTGTGCGCGCACACATATGCACCTGGTGACTGACCCCCTAGTGAGGGCCTGGAGGATATTTAGAGAGGTGGCTGAATAAAGCCTGCTCCCGCCTAACTATGCAGATTGGTCCAGGAGGCAGCTCATCCCTGCCTGATACAATATGTAAGGTTTTGGATCCTACCACTTGTACCAATCATGCAGTGGTAGCAGGACCAGCAGTTTGGTGTAGTGGTTAGGAGCACGGACTCTAATCTAGGAGAACTGCACTTGATTCCCCACTCCTCCACATGCAGCTGCTGAGTGACCTTGGGCAAGCCACAGTTCTCTCAGAGCCGTTCTCTCAAGAGCAGTTCTCAAAGAGCTCTCTCAGCCCCACCTACCTCATAGAGTGTCTATTGTGGGGAGAGGAAAGGAAAAGAGATTGTAAATCATTCTGACACTCTGAGTAAAGGGTGGGGTATAAATCCAATCTCTTCTTCTTCTATCCACAAGCACAGGAGTCGGTCTGCACATGCAGCACATTCCCCTATTAACTGAAGAGAATGGGAATGTCCCAGTTTTATATGTGAATCAGAACCACTAGATTTCAGTCAACGCACTTTAGAAGCTTGGGATTTCAAACTAGGAATCTACTCTCAACTTTATTTGGGAACCATAATATAGGAGACCATATCACAGAAAAATATATTACAGTATTTGATGCAACAGAAAGAAATCCCTGATATTATAGATTTATTACATTTATGGTGAAATAATTAATAATGCACCAAATGATTGTTAGGATTAATAGTTGTATAAGATATATATGACCTATGTGGTGATCTGCTATAGTTGGAACTGTATATTTTATTGTTATTGAGAGTGATGTCTTTGTAAATTTGTAATTGATGTGTATGTAAACTTGATTGGAAATCCAATAAAATTATTATTTAAAACAAAAAACAAAAAAACTTTATTTGGGAACCATACTGTACTCCATTCTTTTTGACTGAAGTACTTATTCTTAGCCTGTGGATAAGGGTAAATGCTGCCAGGTAAACTGTCCTTTTCTTAGTTATATTTGGAGAAGCTTTCTTAATTAAGGGGCTCACGGTGACCAGGTTTGTGAACCCAGGGTACATAATTGCTCCCATATACACTATTTCTCATTATTCCATTTTGGACCCTTTTTCTATATCACCATGAGAATCTGAATATGGTAGTCTGCAATGCAAATAAAATCCAACAATATCCCCAAAGGACAGCTTTTTGCAGATGTTCACCCATGACGAACACTGTAGCAGTGTTATGAAAAAAATGTCCAAGAATCAATTAAACTTTAACCAGTTTCATGGATAACTTCCACAATTCATGTTTAAATCTTTGGACGCTAATAAGACTACCAGCCTGATTCAGAATGAAACCAATGCATAGCTATTAAAGACAATGGCCATGTTCTCCACAAGTTTCATTTTCTCTTCACTTACAGCAGTTCTCAGTAATGACCTACAAAATTTATTTTTATAGAGTTGTTCAGCACTGGAAGCTACCATGGTGAAGATCTTGAACAACTTTGAAGGGAACATGCATACGGATGCAAGCATATTAATGGTTCACATGGACCACAGCTTTACAGATTAAGGCTGCAATCCTTTGTATCCCTCTGAAAGCATTAGGATTTACTCCTGAACAGACAGGGACAGGATTGATTGCAGTCTAAGAATACTTTTTTGCAAATCACAGCCCTAACAGTCTGTTCTTACAACAGTATTCAAATAGTCTTATGGTTAAGAAGGAGATGTTAAAATATAAAAAAGTGATATAGGGAACAAGGAAACATGGAGAAAAAAACCCATCATAGATGAGAAAGAACTGATGAGATCATGCTGAGCATATGAAAGAACAAATGGTGTCATGCAGACTTGGAATGCAATCCAAATTATTTTCATACAAATTTTATCTGGAAATGCTTTTGGATTTTGAGACAGAATCATCAAAATGCTACAATGACATTCAAACAGTGAGACAAATAAGATGATTAAGCAAGGATGAGGGACTACATGATTCTTTGGATATGATTTTCAAAGGAGCCTGAACCAGGGTGTTTTTGTTTTCCAGGTTCCAAGAAGGTCTTGCAGTCTGCATGGGGTTAATTTAATCAATGAATGAGTAGGAATGGAACTATATTTACACTCAGAGTACAGTGATGTGTAAAGCCAAATGCCTGCAGAGACAGAATGAAGTTCACTTGGAAAGTTAGTTTACTCAATTAGGGATTCTTTTTCTGCTCAGAACCAACTT